CCCCGCCCCCGTCCCCGTCCCCGTTAAAATCCCCGAATTCGTCCCCGATCCTCGTCCCGTCCCCGATAAAATGTCCCCGAACCCGGCCCGAAAGTTTCGGTTTTTGGTTTTCACCGTCGGTTTCGGTTTTTTTTGCCATCCCTAATAACCATTAGGCCTTGGCCTAGTGGCCACCTCCTTCTGTAAATGCCTTGTCTTGGGCGTGCCCACCCGGATTCGATTCCAGGGGAGGACATGTTGTCTTTTCCGATGCTTGCTTATGAGGTATGGCAAGTAGGGTTCACAAAATGTGGATCACGGGGCCATGAGGTTCCCGCCATTAAGGTGTATGTATATAAAAAGATCAAGGACTGCTTATCAGATGTTTTTTGTTTAAATTTTAAAGTTCTCTTTTGTGTTTTTTGTTTTTATCTTTTGTTTTATTTTAAAGAAATTTTAATTAATATAAGTTATTGATTTTTTTTAATTATATTTTAATTAATATGAATTATTAATAACTGCATATTTTCTTTTTATCTGATTTTTATATTTCGATTCTCTCTCTATACAACAATATAGTGAAATATATATAGACAGATTAAAAAAGAAGAATAAAAAAATAATTAAAAAGAATGACATCAATGGCAAGGCCCATAAAAATGAACAAAAGATCTTTTGATTCTCCCACTTCTATACAATACAAACAAATTTTTTTTGTTAAAATAATTTAAGTAACCAATTTCTAAAAAATTCAATTATTTAATCATTCAAAAAAAATGCAACGACGTAATTCTTCAACATAAAAAAAAAAGTTCAAACGATTTATTCAATCAAAAAAAGTTCAAACGACTTATTCAAAATGGAATAGACTTTTTAGTTTATGAACTTTTCTTTTATTTAAATTCAAAACAAATGGTTTTCTATAAATATCTCATTCATTAAAATAAATAATTAATCATAAAAAATAACTTTTGGATTACACAATTTTAAGTTTTAAAATAATTATGATGAGACTTTAGTACTAATACATATATGTAATATAACAGTAAATATATCTATATATATATTATATAAAATATAAATGAAGATAATAAAATCGATTTATAATAATAATATAAATAAAAGATATTAACTACAAAGGTGGTGTCTAATTGGTTTGAACTTGACTCCAAATGTTAAAAATACA